GGGGAGTAGGAGGGAAAAGGGGCAGAGGAGGAGGAGCTTCTAGCCATTCTCCTTCTCACAAGGAAGTTGTGATCCCTGTGCACTTCCTGTGACTCTTATATATCTGCTGTGGTCGGTCTTTGAGGGAGGAGAGTGCCTGAGGACCCAGATTTCGGGCTGGGGTACAGCTGGAGCTGCTGCTCCCCTTGATTGGCCTCCATCTCACCCTCTCTGCATGAAAAGTCACAGTAACCTAAGTGAGGTAAGGAGTCCAGTTCTTGCTTGGCTGTGGTTCCCCCATTTCCTCCCCTTCCCCTCCCTCCAAGTTGGGAAGTTCCTTTCCAGCTTAGTGACCCCTGAGCACTACTGCTGCATGGGCTCACCCTTGGTGCCCCCATTTCTATGATGCCCCTTCCCCAGGGGAGATAAACACACACATAAGGAAAATGGAGGTGGGGGGTGGAGCAGAAGGAAGGGAAAGAATTGGTGTTCCATGAATTGGTTTCTTCCTTTTTTACCCTCCCCAATATGAATAGCTTTAACTGCTTCCTGATGATATGAATACAACATGATCATGATTGAAAATTCAGTATGAGAAAAGAATAGTGAAGAATGTTATAATTCCCACCCCCTTCCCCCATAAAGAAACCTTTAACTTCTCTGGATTTGCTTCCGCTTTTGCCATCAGACCCAGGGCAATGTGATGACAGCACTGGCAACAACAACAGATGATTCCTTTGAGGGAGAATAAAGGAGGAGGAAAGGGGAAAGGCTGACTAGCAGAGATCAGAGGCCAAACAGTCCCTGGTTCTTCAGTGAGCTGTGAGGACATGAGCTGAGAAAGCTCTGTAGCTGTCAACAGTGTAAACTCAGGACATGTGCAAGTGTGAGCATTCCACACAGGTGTACCCTTCAGCCTCATTTTGCAGGCTGCCCTTCTGGGTTTAGGCCAGGCCTCTCTGCACAGGATATGTTTACCAGGAGCAGATGATATATTGACATTTCCAACACTGCTTTCCAGTTTAGGGGACAAGATAGGCCTTAGGTAGAATATGAGGACACATAAATATTTACTGTGTTTCAATCTGATCAGTAAAACCCAAACAAACCCAAGAGAGTGTCGTTTTCATGTACAGAAGTGCTGTTGAGAAAAGCCTTGAGACTATTGCTCCATCCACTTAACTCTTTGCAGAAGTAATATAATATAGTTCAGTCTTGCATTTGTTTTCTCTGTCTTACTTCCCTGAGGAATCCAGCAATGCTCCATCCCAACATATTACAACCCATTGCTATAGTTATGTACTAGAAGGGGAGGAGGAAAAACGGTGGGAATGTTCTTCAGTGAAATTTACACTTCTAGAAGTTAAGGGCGAAATTTCACCAACAAAAATTGTCCCACCATTTTTTTGTGGGTACTCATTTATTTGAAGATGTCTATATCTTAGTTCTAAAAAATGACTGCTGGAAGTGGCAGCTGTGGTTCAAGTGGTAGAGCGTTAGCCTTGAGCTGAAGAGAAGAGGCCAGAGTTCAAGCCCCATGACCAACAAAATAAAAGTAAAAAATGACTTCTTTCTTGCATCTATAATAAGATTGTCCATGATATCTTGGAGATTCATTTTCTAGGTAAATCCTGAATTTCCATATCAGATTTAGGCCAGTTCCTGAAAGAATATGATATGCCCAGGTTTTCAAATTTTAGGAAGTGTTGTGTTTTAGCATTGAAGTCCTCAGAGATGTGTACTTTTCTCTACTATTTACAACTATGCTTACTTCACTTTTGTTCCATTTATATGGAGTGAGTTCTATAATCTTATGTTGTTGTCTTGATACCTATTTAAATACACATTTTCCTTCCTAATACTAGAAGCAGGACTCAGCCACCTAGAAACCAATGCCAGATCAATAGTCCTTCCCAGTTGCTTGTGGTGATCAGACAAATATATGTCATAAGCAACTGATGATCCCTGGGGACTGCGTCTTTATAGGACAACTGGAAGCAGCCTGCTTGCCCAGGCCCACGTATTCCCACACAGGGAAGACCCACTGTGAAGGGACTGTAATGATTCCTTCAACTCTTGCTTACTGCGTCATCTCTTGGAACTTTTCTTTATTGATTTCAACCCAATTAAAACCTGTTTGGATAGCATCCTGAACTGTAATAAATATGCTGGGTTTGAACCTCCCTCTGCCCTCTCCTCTCTAAAATGCTGGGCTTGAGGGCCCTCCCCCCCAATTTTTCTCTCTCTCATATCTGATGCCTGATTTATTGGCATACCTTGCACCTTCGAGGAGCTTTCCCTGGACTGTTAGTCAACCTAGTCAGTCTTTACTATGCTTGTGGTCATTCAGCTCTGTTCTTCCGTGAGAGACTGTTCTGCATCTTAGACAATATTTAATTGAAAATTTGTTATTTGCAGATAAATATTTAATATCTGTTTTAGAATATAAACATTAAGCCCCCTCATCTGGTTCATAAAGGCTTTCCAGATCTACTGTTTTGCTTTTTAATTATGTTAATAGTAAATTTTGACAAATAATAGTTTTCCTTTTTATACATTCAAATATTTCTAGCTCTTCTTTCATAGAAATTGATATTTTGGTCAGTTGACAAGGCTGTTTCATACCCAAGGCTGGGCTTTAGGATGTATTCAGATTTTTTTAAATGCCTTTGTTTCTTCTTTATTATATTTTATATCATTTATATACTGGACTTCCTTTCTATACAGTATACAAGGGGATTTTCAGTCTTGTTTTCCTTGAGGTGAATAGCCATTATTTGTTCTGATTGTGTTTCATTAATAGTCTAAGTTGTGCCACCTCTTAAATTCTCATATAAATAAAAGGTAATTCTGAAGTCTGTATTCTATGCCACTGATAATTTTGTGTAATATTTTGCAAATACTAACTTAAAAAAATACACTGTTTATTTCTTTTTAAGTTCAGAGATCCTATAAAACATATTACCCTCACATTTTCTCAAAAATTTTGCATGTATTTCCGTGGATCTTGATGCTAGATGATTATGAGTTTGAGGCCAGCCTGGGTAACTAATTCACCAAGAACAAAGAACAACTGGAAACATATATGCACATAATAGCAGAACTCTTAAATATATGAACCTGAAACTGACAGTATTAAAGAGAGAAATAAACAATTCAGTAATAAAATATGGAAAATTTAATACCCAGAATTAAATAATGGATTCAACAGCTCATTGGAGTGTAAGCAAGATTATAAAAGCCTTGACCAACAGTATCAAATAATTGGTCTCAACAGACAGTTATAGAATATTACTCAACTGAAGTTTGAACCCAGGACCTGGGCAGTCTCCCTGAGCTTTTACACTCAAGGCTTAGTGCTCTGCCACTTCCAGCCACAGCTCTACTTCCGGTATAGTGTTAATGTAGATGCTGTTGTGTCTTTTTCTTCTAAATATTGTCATTACAAAGATTTTATGTTTGTCAAGGACATTGCTGTGTTTTCTGATCATTAAAGTGGGTTTCCAATGACTTAGTAACCACATCAGCCTTCATTTGAATAGCTATTTAATGGCAAGGTATTTTAAGTGACTACTCCTTTATGCCCATGGTTATATCACAAGTATTATTTTAAGCGATTTAGAAGGTAAATTTAATACCCCCTATGCCACTGAATTGAAAGGTATAGAACTACATGTTCAAGTATACTCAAAAAAACATGAATATGCTTGACAATCAAAGAAGCCATCAAAATTTAGCATTACGGTGGCAAAAAGTTCATCAAGATTAATTTTAATTATATAACACCATAATAGAATTGATTCCAATTCCATTTCACATATACTTGTTCTTTGTCTATTGATTATTTTTGAATAGGATTCCCTAAGTAGAGCAGGTTGGATTCAAATGCACAATGTATCTGCCTCAACTTTCCAAATATTGGGATTACAAGCATGAACTACCTTATCTGAATATCGAGAATATTACTTTAACCTCACTACCTCTTCCAACAATGGATCACTTTTGATTATTTATTTGACAAACAGGAGTTATGCATTACTGACTGCCCTGCAAGAGAAGAAACAGATTGTGCTTAGCCAGAAGACAAACCAACAATGAACTCCAAACACTCTTATGTGACACTAAATGATGGTCACTTGATCCCTGCTCTGGGCTTTGGCACCTACACACCTGAAGAGGTAAGTCATAATTTGGTGAATGGTTCAAAGGAAAATAACCTAGGATGAGAGGAAGTGGATCTGTGCTGTCAACACATCCATTTCTTGTCTGAGTATTTGGACTTACTTGGTTCTTAGGTTTGTCTTTTTAGTAGGTCTAGATGGAGGTAGTAATATATGTAATTAATTTTATTGAAATTTTATTGAAGTTTATGTATGAATGGAAATGACATGATGAAATCCTTTACTATGTACAATTCAATATATGCCAATAAAATAACAAAAATTAACTTGCATAAAAATATAGTGATTCCAACTCTCTTCTTATATGTGAAACATTTCTCCCTTTATATTAGTTAATTTCTAGACCAGTAGTACCTATGGTTAATCATTACACAGGAAGTGACACTAACTAACCATTAGGCAGGAGCTAGGATGTAAGTTATTCAGTGTCCTGTGCAGGAAGCAGAAGGAACAACATGAGCTTAGTCAGACAACTGACCAGCCATGAGTTGTAAAGAGCATTGTGTGAAACTAAATGATGGTCATTCATCCCCTCATTGGGCCTTGGAACCTACACGCCTGAAGAAGTAAGTTATCCTATGGGGAAATGTTGGAAAGAATTCTAGAATGATTGGGAGTTGAACTGGGCTATCAAGACTTAGCTACTTCTTGTATGAGTGCTGGGGATTCACTTGGTTCTCAGATCTTCCAGCTATGCTCACACCTACTTGTATATCTAGATTATTTGAGAATACATTTTTCCATCAGCATTTAATCTGTAAAAAAAAAAGAAGCATGGATGCATAAAAATGTGTTTGATCACACATTGCTCTCTAGCCAAGTTTGAATGACAGTCTAGCTCTGGTTTGCATCTAGGGACTTTGATGTCTTAGCAGCTATTTAAAGATAATGATGATGAGTGTTCCTAAATGGCTTATATACAAAAGAGGAGTACAGTTTTGCATTGTCTTCTTTTGAGAGATGGATTGACAGGTCGTATCAGAGGACTCCATATAATATGAAAATCTTGGAAGTTCTCTAACAGATTTCATTACAGACAGAGTTCCCATTTTTGTGAAGAGAGAATTATAGGGAATTCAGCCTGTTTCACTGAAGAAGAATCACAGAAGCTTGTACCAGATTTCCTCTATAATTTTCCTTACATTCTTACCCTTTGACCTTTACTTAGTGACCTCTTTGTATTAATTGTATTATTGAAATAATAGGATTATTTCAACGAGCTGAATTCTGCTTGAAGTTGCAGAAAATATATGAACAGGAGTTGTTTCTGGGGTCTACAGTATAATATGTAATATATTTTATAGCTTTTAAGGGAGTTAGAATGTAAAATTCTTCTTTAGCACAAAGACCCAGAAAATGTGAGTTTGATTTTGTGGTCCATGTTCAAAAGTAAATAACGATGTAAATAGAGGCTAGGAAGATGGTTCAGTGGTAGAGTGTTTGCCTTGCATGCATGAGGCTCTGGGTTCCATTCCTCAGCATCACATAAGCCAGAAAAAAAAAA